ATCAACGATCAAAATAAAGTTTTATCGTCATGGTAACCGTTAACATTAGCTTTCTCGGTAGCTAACAGGGCAGCTCATCAGGTAGAACTGGTGCCCTGTGTGAGGCCGAGTCCTGGCTGCAGCGGCCATGGGTTTTGCCTGCAGATAGCTAGATAGATAGATGGATCGATCCATCTCTCTCTCTCTCTCTCTCATATCCAATAAGAGAAAAATAGTTTTGTAAATTACCTCCTTGGTGCAACCACTTTATTTTAGTAATGCATAAATCACAAATCACAACACTTCCATTTACGTTATAACTAGGCTCAATTTTGAACTTACACACAGTTGCTGCAGCAGGCTGCAGGAGTCTTACTTGTTACAGAGTACAGACCAGAGATGGACTGGGCCACAGCTGCTCCAGAATCCAGATTAAAGACAATGGGGATCTGAGCCTTAGTTGCCCCAGAATGAATGAATCTGCTGGAGACTTTAGTTTTTGTTGGTTTAAACAAGAGGTTTTATTCAGTAAAAACAAGTTATCATATTTATCTTTGGCACTTCTGTCACTTCTGTTATAATCAACAGTCCAATTTTACAAACTGAAAAACTTAAATTGAAACAAACTTTAATTGCAGCTCTGCCTGACCAACAAACATATCACAATATGTATTCTTTTAATTTAAAAACGGCCTATTTTTCTTTTTTGAAAGACCTTCTAAGACAAAAATTTTCACTTTGGTTTTAGTGGATATTTTAGTATCTTGGGTGTAACTGCTGTTGTGTTATTCTCCTATAATCCTGTGTGAATCAATATCGCAGTAAACTGCGGTCGTAATTCTTTATTTTCAATTATTAATTTGCTGCATCACGCTTTTGTCTTCTAATTTTAATCACTACGGAGGCTTCGGTGTAAATAATTTCACAGACCTTCTGCAGCAGCAAATATAACCCAGCTTCTTGGTTGCTTTGTTTTTATGAATGTTTACTGATCTGGTCAGTAAATATGACCGAAATACAGACTTTTCTTTTTGCTGCATGAAACACGGAGAGTAAAGGCCTAATAAAGTATTTTTATTTATGAAGTTGTAGCGGGGTAAAAAAAAATAAAGTTTAAATAAATCCAGTCAGATGGGAACAAACAGCTCATTTAGGTCTCTGCCCATAAACACCAAATCCCATTAAAACCAGTAGCAGATAAGCTAAACCAGCAGCCAGAAAGCCTTCACAGCCCCGTCCGCCTGCTTCAAAACCAAACGCACCCAGACCAGAGGGAGGAAGAGGCAGCGAGAAAAAAAAAACAAAAAAACCAAACACCCCGAGAAAGACAGAGCGCAGAGAGCCGAGAGGAATGAAAGCAAATAAAGACGTCCTCCACTCTGTGCTGAAACCGGCCTACGGACGGGACGGAGGGACTGCTGGTTCAAACAAGGCCTGCAACGACAGAAACACACACATTAACACTGACACACTGCTAGATTAAAGAACAACACACACACACACACACACACACACACACACACACACACACACACACATTAACATTGACAGACTGCTAGATTAAAGTACAACACACACACACACACACACACACACACACACATTAACATTGACAGACTGCTAGATTAAAGTACAGCACACACACACACACACACACACACATTAACATTGACACACTGCTAGATTAAAGTACAACAAACACAAACATTAACATTGACACACTGCTAATAAATAAATGATTATTACAAAATCATATTGTAATTTCACATTAAATTACTGTGTTGTAGTTACTGTAGAAACTGATTACTGTGATTTTTATTTATATTACTGTAAAATAATTACTGTATACTAATGTGAATTTACTGCAATTATTAGCCAGTAATTTACTGTTAAAGTACAGTAATATTTTACAGAACAATGCACGCAAACCTGGCAACATACCAGGATGCAGCAGATCAGCAGAGGCAAACACACAACGCAGCTATCAGAGAGAGTCCTAGTCCAAGTTTAGGGTCAAGGATTATGTTGTTTATAACGTTAATAAGAACAGCGACAACATCCAACTTTATCTGTCACTACAAAACCTAGAAAGAAAGGTACATTCATTAAACCTGTTTCTCTGCTGTTTGAAGCGCCTAACCCTAACCCAATAAAGGCAGGTCTCCATTAGAGGCCCGTCCCCAATAAAGGCAGGTCTCCATTAGAGGCCCGTCCCCAATAAAGGCAGGTCTCCATTAGAGGCCCGTCCCCAATAAAGGCAGGTCTCCATTAGAGGCCCGTCCCCAAAAGGCAGGTCTCCATTAGAGGCCCGTCCCCAATAAAGGCAGGTAGGTCTCCATTAGAGGCCCGTCCCCAATAAAGGCAGGTCTCCATTAGAGGCCCGTCCCCAATAAAGGCAGGTAGGTCTCCATTAGAGGCCCGTCCCCAATAAAGGCAGGTAGGTCTCCATTAGAGGCCCGTCCCCAATAAAGGCAGGGACAGTTCAGTGACTGAAGCAAATAAAAGCCTGGGCTATTATTAGGAGTTTTACGGTATCTGTGTTTGTGTGTCTGTGTGTGTTAGCTGAGGTTTAAAACCAGCAAACAGCTGAGCCGTGCTAACGTCTCTGAATGATAACCCGGAGAGTACAACGCCTCGTCTGACTGAAGTGCCATCGAGCAACACAATCAACAAAAACAAAGCACATTCAGCAATAGACTGAGTTTCGTTGGAGGAACTCGTGTGGAAGAGAGCGTTAAGGAGGCACTGTCACAACTGATTAACGCTCTAATGAATCAGGTGATTTGAAATAAACACAGACACAAACTGCTCATACTAATGAGAACAACTGAACACAGTTAACACCTCCAATGTATTCTTCACTCAGGTTGGGTTTTTACTGACAGTCAACAAAATAAAATCAGCTCATGTTTACAGGATCTGTCAAAATTGTTCATACAGTCGTCATCTTTAAAAATATTTAGTCATTTCCTCAAACAACTGCTCTCGCCAGTTTTTAATGGAGGAAATTTGTTGGGGACTATTTTCAGTGGCGGAGGAATCCACATTTGGTGCTGTAGTGAGTGTTTGTGGCAGCAGGACGATAACATCAACTACAGTGTGCTCACTTTTTTTTTTTAAAGACAACAATGGAGCCCAATGTACGGAAGCCCTGAGAGGACAGCGAGAAATATTGATCTATTTTCTCTCTGTGTTGATGATTTAAGCTCAGATGTTATTTTTTTTTAATTTTCAGGTGTTTGTTGTTAAACGCATTTTGCCCACCAGAGGCTGAAGTGCACCACTACCTCACGATCTAAATAAGACTAAAAGCATTCATGTCTTATTTTATTTGTTAAATGTTATTTGTTTGTTTGATAGGGAGAGAGCACGCCGATGAACATTAATATAAAAAGAAAATATATAAACAACATTAGCAAGAATGCAAATTTATTTCTGTAGTCCCTTGATCAGCACTAACATTATAACACTGTGATCACTGGACTCCCTGACTGGTCCCAGACCAGCAGACTGCTCTGCACTGTGTGTTCTGACCCCTTTCTATCAGAACCAGCATTAACTGTTTCAGCAGTTTGAGCTCCAGTAGCTCGTCTGTTGGATCGGACCACCCGGGCCAGCCTTCACTCCCCACCTGCATCAATGAGCCTCGGCCCCCCATGACCCTGTCTCTGGATATGTTCCTTCCTTGGACCACTTTTGATAGGTACTGACCTCTGCAGACTGGGAACCCCCCACAAGAGCTGCAGGTTTGGAGATGTTCTGACCCAGTCGTCCATCACAATGTGATTCTTGTCAAAGTGGCTCAGATCCTCACGCTGCCCATTTTTCCTGCTTCTAACACATCAACTCTGTTCACTGTCTGCATGATATATACCCCCCACTGACAGGAGCCCTGATATACCCCCCCCCCACAGACAGGAGCCCTGATACCCAGATACTCAGTGTTACTGGCAGGGCTCACTGTGTTAGGGCTGATGGGTGCATCGGGAACAGTGTTCACATATTAAATAAACCAGAAGAAACCAAATCTAAAATCTAAATGTAGGTTATTTTCAGCTAATCTCAGGAGTATTTTATAGAAAGAGAGCTGAAGAGCTCACACACTCTCACACACACACACACACACACACACACACGCACGCACGCACGCACGCACGCGCACACACTGTTTACAACAAACAGACCTCTCTCTCTCTCTCTGTTCCAACATGGCAGATGGGAACTTTCAGTCTCTCAGTTCGGAGCCAAAATGTTAGAAAATCTAATCTTACTGAATTTTAGGTGTTTACAGTGAAAAGTGCAAAAATTAACAAAAAGAACGAGTCATCATATTCACAATATGAATAAACCACATCAACAAATATTGATCTATCCATAAACCATATTTTATCATTATTCAGACCGCTGGTTCCCAACCTGGCGTCACTAATAATAATAATACCAAATATATCTACAGCTCAGCATGTCATTGCATTATTACTTACTTGTTATTAATACATATATAATACTTTTAAAGTGTATATTATTAAAGTTATACATTTTGAAGCAGTGAACACAGTGTGTATATTGTGTATTGATCAACAGCCTCGTCCTGCATCAGAAAGCAAACAGCTGATTGATCAATGAGAATTAACAGTGAATCTGTCAGAAAGAAGAATATTAAGTCTTAAAATGAATGAATCAATATATCAGGAAAACTCATCTGTGATCAATATTCACAGGAAATAATCAAACTTTCTGCAGTTATTGTGTTCACTGTTTGGGTTCATTGATCAGTTGATCAGCTGTTGATCAATATGAAATATACAGAACATACAGTCAGTTCACTGACTGATAGAAGAGGAACTGATCTATACCGCCCCCCAGAGGCAGCGAGCAGCAACTACAACTGTCATCTACAACCCTGTTGCACTCTGAGACCTGTGTGTGTGTGTGTGCGTGTGTGTGTGTGTGTGTGTGTGTGTGTGTGTGTGTGCGCGTGTGTGCGTGTGCGTGTGTGTGTGCGCGTGTGTGTTACTGACCTTTGACCTGCTTCAGGTCAGAGCTCAGCTCCTGCTCTGATTGGTTGGGAGGTCTGTAGGGTGGGGGTTGTCTCAGAGGGGGCGGAGCTGCAGGTGGTTGCTGTAGAGGCGACACAAACAAACAAACAAAATAAATAAACAACCTCACTGTATGTGAGCCAGACTGGAAGCCTTCAGGCCAGTGTGTTGGGGCTGTGCTGCCCTCTGCTGGACTCTGCTGGACTCACAGTCTGATTGTTGGGGTTGAGGTGAACGTGGAGAGACGGTCACATTTCCACCAATAAAACACTTCCATACAAAAGTATAATTCATTCAGATTTACCAGCATGGTGAACAAGAGACACTCCTCCATTATTTATATTCCTTTAGTCCATAAGGGTCCATCAAAACAATCAAAATCAATATTGTCTTCAGCTGCTGTAAAACCACGTTCACACACAGAGAACAACCTGAGAAACCTCAGGAGAAGCAGCAGTTAAAGAGGATTTCCATCTGTGCTGAAGGAATTAAAGGCCTGTCCCCAATAAAGTTCACTGACTGCAGCACATCAACGGGCTGTGATTTGTAATAAAATAATATGTATTATTTAAGAATGTAATAGTTTCAGAAAGGTTAAATAACAACATAGGACCGCTGAGAAACCAGTGATGTCTGTTGATCTCCTCCGCTCTGCTTCAGTACCGTGCAGCGGTCCGACAGTAACACCAACATCAGCCAATCGTTTTGTAGTTTCTCTTCAGAGACATGAAGCTTGAACTGAAAACGTGAATGTGAAAGCTGAAAGCTTCGAGACGAGAGGAGAACAACAGGAAGTTCAGTCTACTTTCACCCCGGTGTGAGCCGATGTGAGGAGGTTCCTGCTCTTACCGGAGACTCTGTCCTCTCTGCTCTGTGTTTACTGTAGCTGGAAGCTGTCAGAGACACAGGCTGAAACACACACACACACAGTCAGTGACAATTCTGGGTTTGGATTTACAGTCGGAGAGAATCACCATGAGCTCACACTACACTGCCCCACAATGCATTGCGTCTCCTCATAACACCTGAAGTATTCTGCCGCCAGCTAATGAAACCATTTTCTCTTTTCTGTGTGTTTAGTCTGTATTTGTTCACATTGAGTCAAACTGTCTCCGTAACAGTCTGCTGAGTTAGCTGTAAGCTGTTAGCTGTTAGCCTGCAGCATACTCGGTCCAACCAGCCACCGTCAGTCAAACAGCTCGTAGTTTACTTCATGCAAGGAGCTCTAAAAGCTTTAATTAACTAATTCAACTCTCCAAATGTCAAGAAAGGAAAAGAAAAACACCTCCTTTCATCATTAAAGAGAAAATCCAAACGTACAGCTTCTGAATTCAAACTTGTTAAGCAATCCGAACACACCACAGAATCTAAGTCCTGGTTGGAGCCACCTTGTTCCTGTATTCCGGTCATCAAACTAGTAAAAATAAACCCTTAATGCTAAACGCTGCGCTGCTTAACATCTGTCACTGAGCGGCTGTCATTAAAGAACATTCAATTAATAAAAGAAAATGATACAAATCAGCTAAAAAACAACCGGTGCTGATATATTCGTCCAGTGGACTTTTTCTATGATGTTTAAGTGGATTTATGGGTATTTATTAGAGATAAGGATGTCTTCAGGAGGAGTTTCATGTCTGCGTGTTCACATTTAACTGAGGAGGAGTGAGATTTGTGCCTCCCTTCAACCCCCGAGGAGTCTTTATAACATCCACAACAGACCAGATCCTGTAGCTTCACCAGAGTTCAAAGGAGTCCTGAACAAGGAGTTAAACTACATGACGGTTTCCTCCTCCTCCTCCTCCTCCTCCTCCTCCTCCTCCTCCAGAATGAGGCTGCAGTGTGTGTGTTAGTACCCGGGGAGTAGTTGACAGGCTCTGGACGATGAAGACGACGGGACTCGGAGCTGATTTGATGGCACTGACCGCCTCCTCGTGACTGGCGGCTTGTAGGTCGACACCAGACACCTGCGCACACGCACACACACACACACACACACACACACACACACACACACACAGTTATTTCACTGCAAAACAAGATTTAAACCCATAATTTCAGGCCTGAGATGAGATTTGAGACGCGGATCTTGCCGTCACCTCCAGGATCTTGTCTCCGGTCTTCAGACACTGTGTTTTGGCTGCAGGGCTGTTGGGTAAAACCTGTTTGATGAAGATTCCCTTCAGTTCCTCTCCGTTCCTCAGGCGCTTGATGATGTGACGGCCACCCACGATGCTCAGACCCAGAGACTGACCCTCTTCAGGCCACACCTCCACCCTGCGGGGCAGAAAGGCTGTTTACTACACCCCCATATCCAACCAGTAAAATACCAAATATTAATAATACAGGGGAGTCAGGAAGAGATCCCCTGAGAACATGATTTGTGAAATTTTGGGGGGGTCACTTAAATATCAGCCCCTCCAGGATTTAGTTTTTCTGAAATTGTTGCAGCCTAAAATGTCTGATTTAATCACTGAAGCCTGACAGCACAATATCATTAACTTCAGATCCCCCGCAACAGTAGAAAAAGTGAGCTCCCCCGAAAGCTGCACTAAAAAAATTGTTCCAATGTGGTTAAATTTAATTTAATTTAAGTGTAATGACATGTTTCCAATTCAAGATGTACAGTTTATAAGGACAACAGAAGCTAGTACGTTGTGTTGTTGACACAAATGGAGGACACCAAGCGGACAGTTGGGGCATCTGAGAATCTTCTGTCTGACTCTACAACCACAACTGACCTGCCGACTCACTGTCTAACGTTAGCTTGAACCCAAGCGAGGCAGCAGAGTGGAATACAGACTTTATATGTGAGGACATGTGGCCCATTGGTGTGTTGAACGAACGTCTCATTCTATAGTACAGCTATGTTTTCCTGAGCGGTGTCGTACATTTGTACTTTGTGTTTGCCAAAGTTATTTATTATTAACGTGATTCTTTGTAAAGTGACGGCCCTAACCCAACGTCTACTGTGTCGCCTCACAACGTCTCAGCCTCGGCCCGACATCAGCTGACCCGGTGAGTGTCACAGTCTTCAGGTTTCTAGAATAACAAAAATACCCCGAACCCCGTTACCTGCGGGGGGGTCCCCAGTGACTGAAGGCAGGAGTTTCCTCTCCCTCCCCCTCCTCTCTCTCAGGAAGGTGGCTGTGAACACACACACACACACACACACACACACACACACACACACACACACACACAGAGTCAGATACAGTGTCTGTGCTGGTTGTTTCTAACCATCAGGAGGTGAAGCAGGTCTCCTACCCGTGCCCTCCTCTGATTGGAAGAGAGGCTCCTCCCTGGCTCCGCCTCTTCCTCCTCTGTGTGTCAATCATCCTAACAGACCTCCACAGGAAGAAAACAACAAACATTTTTCATCAGGAAACAAAAGTTCTTTCAAACTCAAACTGAAAGTGTCAACACTGAATTTAATTAAATGTGTCAGGAATGATTCACAACTGATCTGGAAAATCAGCATGCAACCATTAAACAAGGACGAATCAGGGTTTAAGTGACTAAAGATAAAGATAATAAATATAAAAGATCAGTGTCAGTCAGTAGGAAGACTCCACTGCCAATTTCACACATTAAAAAGTGCTGCAGGAGTCGACCAGCAGAGGGCGACACAGGACAGTGAAACAACCAGCAACAGAGAGGAAGACGAAAGAAGGAGACAGAGGAGACGAAGTGGAGGAGACAGAGGAGACGAAGAGGAGGAGACGGTGAAGGTGGCCGTGGAGCTGCAGGAGATACTGACTCTGTGTCGGTGTCGGTCAGAGTGAGCTCGGAGTCTGCTTCACTGTCTCTGGAGTCTGCAACACACACACACACACACACACACACACACACACACACACACACACACACACACAGACACAGACACAGACACAGACACAGACACACACACACACACACACACACATAGAGACACAGACACACAGACACACAGACACACACAGACACACACAGACACAGACACAGACACAGACACACACAGACACACACACAGACACAGACACAGACACACACACAGACACACACACACACACACACACACACACAGACACACACACACACACACACACACACACACACACACACACACACACACACACACACACACACACACACACACACACACACACAGTTAATATATCTATCTACAGGATGTCAAACACACAGTTTCAGTTGTCACAACCTGTTTCAGGGTGACATATAAAACTTTATATCTTCAGTGGTCAGAAAAATGAAATCAGTAAATTTGTTGTGGTCGTTGTAATCTGTAATTTTCTTTGTACATTATATTGAATCTGAGCTCTTTGGTTTGGATATTTCAGTTATAAAAGTATAATATATTTTATGTATTGTGACTGTATTGTGACTGTTTCCCACCCAGAACCAGGTTTCCTACAGACACAATGCTTTCATGGTCTGATCTCTGCAGGTCCTCCTCCTGATTCTCTCTCCTCCGAGTCTGAAAGGAGAAAACTATCAGTGAAACTCACAGAAACAGCAGATAAAATAAGAGAATGAAACAGTAACAGTGCTGAAATCACTGGATTATATCAGTGAGAGGTTGCTGTCTGATGTGTGAACGCTGGATTTTATAGTACAAATATTCAGGATGTCGTTTAATGGCTCAGAACTTCCTCTGCCTAATAAATACTCACTTATTAATTCTGCAAATATTTCAAAATAAAAGCCTAACTTTACACTAATGTTACAATTCCTTCCTCCCTCAGTGGTGAAAACAGTGTTTGGAGCCGAGTGATGAGTCTGACCTCCTCTGCTCCTCTGCCCCGGCTGGAGGAGCTGAGCTTCCACTCCTCCCACGACGGAGGAGGTTTCCTGGGGAGGGAACCCATGCTCTCCTCCACTTTTTCCTCCTCCTTCTCCATCTCCACCTCCATCTCCTCGTCCACGGCCATCTCCTCGTCCACAGCCATCTCCCTGCCCTCCTCCACAGGCAGGAGGCCAGAGGTCAGAGAGAAGGAGGTGTAGCGAGGCAGACCTCCATCCAGGATCAGCTCCGGCTCTTCTTCCTCCTCTTCCTCTTCTTGTTGTCGAAGGTCTTCTGGCAGGATGGAGCTGTCACCGAAACCCTGAAACACCCGACATCATGAATCAACAGTGAGAAGGTCAAAGGTCACAGCAGCAAGAAGGAGTTCATCATCATCGTTCTTTTCATAGCCAATAAAGAAACCCCAAAATAAATAAATAGGTGTATTAGTTAGTTAACTGACAGATATGTTGTATAATGATGGAAGTTGAATAAATGTTGTTTATCAGTGTATAAGGTAAACTGTCCAAATACAGTTGTTATCAGTGTAAACAGCAATAATTACTGTAATCTCACAGATAATGACTTTTATTACACTTCTATAACTTTTAACATTCACATTAAAATAATAACAATCCAATAATAACAGCACTCTGCTGTAAATGTAACCTGATTATTGTATTATAGAGTTCACCCAGTGTTTCCTCTAGGATTTTGTTTAGCAGTGGGGGCAGGCCCGTCCGAACATTAAACATTAAAAAGCAGAAAATGTTTTATTTAAAATTATATACTGTATTTCTTTGCTGAAATATTACCGTTTTATCATTATCATTATATAATTTTTTTTACAGTGTAGATTTATTTAAACAGGACGCTGCAACAACAGCAGAAGGTCTGTTTTTAGTTTATCTGTGAAGTTCTGATGAACTGATTGATTCTTCCTCTTTTCTTCTTCTTCTTACAAATACTTTAAATGAAATGTGAAAAACAGAAAGAACATGACTTTGACGTGGAGCCAGAGGAGATCAGAGACAAACAGAAGCTCGTTCTGTCTCATCAGTGCAGCTGATCGGTGGTCTTTTAGATTTCTTTGGACACCTGATTATCGGGTCGGTGAAAAGCCTCCCGAAGCTTCGAGCTGTCTGCCGTCAGAGAAGAACTTCAAGTGTAAAACAGCAGCTCGCACTAAATCTAAAACTTACTTTGGACATTAGCCTTCATCTCTGAACACATAAAGGTTTTCTCCAACTCCCCAAAGAGCCTTCCTCAGCAGATACTGAGGGGATATCCTGTTCTTAACGTTACGATGCAGACATTAGCCCGCGCTGGGAAATATTAATGACAACACTTAGGCTAATTTCCATCCACGAAGCCTCATCGTCAAGGACTCTGCTCCTCTTCTTTTAATTTGGGCCCGGGAAGCCGGCCCATCACAGGCCGTATAATGGAGGTGAGGAGCAGACGGCGGCAGCGGCGGAGAGCTCATAACACTAACAGGATGTTCTGCAGACTGATGTGTATTGGCCGTGACTGCCTGGCCTCATATTCATAAGATTTAAAGACGTTGTCATTTAATATCTCTGCCATTAGGCGATGAGGACAGCGGAGATGACGAGTCGGTCGCCTCAGACTCTCTCGGGGAGGCTGCAGGCCGCCGCAGCGGGCGATGTGCCGGTTGAGCTGCAGGTTCGAACTCACAGTCAGATCATGTCGCTCTCAGACAGACTGCGAGGTTGTGATCTGGATAATAGTCTGTGAATCTGGTTTTACTATGAGCGGTATCTGGATATCTGATCTGGATCAGTGCTGCACAATGAATCCAAAGATTATTGAAATCACAAATATGCAAATCACAGAATAAAAGGTACGACAGCATTATAATGAAATACTTATGGAGCCATTATTGTAGCAAAACACTTCACAAATGTGAGTGGACAGTAACTGTATCTCAATCCGTGTGATCAGATGTGTAAATGTGCAAACACATCTGAAATGCAAATCTCTCCTCACACTCACAGATCTGCAGCGGCAGAAGTAAAAAGAGCCTTAAAAAAGAGATTTATCTGTATTTCTAACCTTTTAATCACAGTGGTTTTACTTTCTATTGTGCTGTCTTGTTATTTACTGCTATGTTTTACAATGTTTATTTGTTTTTGGTTATTAATCATGTGTTTTGTCTTTGTCAGACTTTACAAATATCCTACATCCAACCATTTATGATCAAACTTATTCAGAGGTTAAAATCCTTTTTTTCAACAGTTTCAACCTGCAGCTTAGAGAAGCAACTGTTCATCAATCATCTGGGTGAAGCTCACGTACTCGTCTGTTAAAGAGACGTGAGTCTGAAATCAGATCCAAAGTGTGCAATAATCAATAAAACAAACAATAAAAGGAGGAGAAGTCAGTAACGCGTGGGCAACAGAGTAAAAGTTGATGGTTGGTGTTACGGCGCTCTGCAGCCACTGTTTGCCGATTGTAAAGTGTGAACTGTGGCGGCTCGCAGCAGCTCTTTATCTGCACCGAGCAGATCAGAATAATGTGATGGCAGCCGCAGCAGCTCGTTCTGCTGCCGTCTTCTGCGTGTGACCTCTAAAAGTTAACGAGGTGTGGATGTGTAACGGGGGTCTCTCTCTGGTCAGCAGGCTGGCGTGACAGAGAACGATCCGGCGGTGAAGTGACAGCACCGACCCGGCTGTCTTTATGGGAACCCATCAGAGACCTGTGGGCTGTGAAAAACCCTCTTCAGCCAAATGGGCTGCATATAAAACAGGAAATAAAACAGCGGCGCAGAGGATACAGCCCGAGGACAGAGAGTAACGCAGCGGAGGACAGAGAGTAACGCAGCGGAGGACAGAGAGTAACGCAGCGGAGGACAGAGAGTACGGCAGAGTACAGTAGAGTACAGTAGAGTATGGCAGAGTACAGCAGAGTACAGTAGAGTATAGTAGAATACGGCAGAGTACAGTAGAGTACAGTAGAGTACGGCAGAGTACAGTAGAGTACAGTAGAGTACGATAGAGTACAGTAGAGTACAGTAGAGTACAGTAGAGTACAGTAGAGTACAGTAGAGTACGACAGAGTACAGTAGAGTACGATAGAATACAGTAGAGTACAGTAGAGTACAGTACAGTAGAGTACAGTAGAGTACAGTAGAGTACAGTAGAGTACAGCAGAGTACGGCAGAGTACAATAGAGTACAGTAGAGTACAGTACAGTAGAGTACAGTAGAGTACAGTAGAGTACAGTTCAGATGTTAATAATGTGTGTGCCTACTATGTTTGTATTTATTATGTACATAATGTTATGGCTGATCAGTGTGTGTGTGTGTGTGTGTGTGTGTGTGTGTGTACATATTGTCAGATGGGTGGAGGGGTTATTTTCTGTATGTGGGCGGAAAAAAGGAAATACTAATCTGTGGATGCTTTTTGTTTACTCCCCCCACACACACAAATAAAAACAATTATTATTTTGACAACGTCTGGCGGGTTGGTGTGTTAAAACTGATAATACACATCAGCGCAGCAGTCTGTACAGTACGGGTGTTTAACTATTTTACCCTATTTCTGTTTAACTGGTTGACAGCGTGAATGTAAATGTACTGAAGTTATCTGCAGCCTGTACAGTCACAGCACACAGAGGAGAGGGTTTACTGCGGTAGTATTTACTGAGAGTACTGCAGTACTGAGTGTACTCTGACGCTGGAGGACCAAAGTGTCCTCAGAGTACCCCCCCCACAACCCCGCACCCCAACCCTCTCCACCCCCCGACTCACTTAAGAGAGAGATGCTGCTGGTTGAGCTGATAGAGCACTTTATACCATCCAGCCATCCAGCTGAGTCAGCAGCTTCACCGACAGAGAGGAGAGATTAAGGAGAGAGGGAGAGGGAGAGAGAGGGTGAAGGAAGGTGAAAGAGAGGAGGAGATGAAAGAGGAGAGAGAGACGACAGAGAAAAAAAGCGAGGGAGGAGGTGAAAGAGAGAGGAAAAGACGACAGAAGAAGAGAGAAATCTTTGAGTGGAGGAAGAAAACACGAGTTCCTCCACAGCAACCCGACTGCAGACGATCCTCTGATTTATCACCAGCACAAAGACGCTGCTTTCACTCCCTTTTTGTCAGTTTGAGAGCAGAAGAATAAAAAAAAATAAAAAAACGCGCAACAGATTCTAAGAAGAGCTGCAGAAAGGACAGGTGTGGTGCAGAAACAAATGTTTCCTGAATTCACTGGTCCCGTTTTGCATCCACTTGTTTCCAAAAACCTAATCTTCTGTCTTTGGACGAGCAAAAGAGTCTGTATTGTCAGGATGTAATCAGTGGACAGAGCTTAGGGGTCTTAAACCTGCATTCTTTCTAGTGGCCAGCAGGGGGCATCACCACTCTGATAGTATTGAGTCTTATGGAGAAGTTGATTTCAATGAGCTCAGTAAACAGTTTCCTGATGAGTTTCTGGTCTCAGTCTCTAGTTTCAGTCTTCTTCCATACAGCATGATGTTCATTTAGTAACTGATGGTCCCATTTAGAGTAAAACAGACCATAAAGCAGGGAGGCAAAGTTTAGATCTTAAATCATTAACAAACAAACGGTCTGCCGTCGGACATCGAACAAAGAACGTTAAAAGTAGAGAACGCCCTCTGCTGTTTAAAAAGAGTATCACGATTAATTTCCATCTCCACGTTTGTATCTCTGAACTCTGTACATTCATAATCAATATAGGCCTCAAATATGCAGCATTGGTTCGTTCTGTTTGATTCTGTGTCACAATCTGAGAGCAGAAACAGCTCATATAGGAACTGTAATTATCTGTATTATTCAGATAATAAAGTACCAGTGTCCGTGCATCAGTGGTTGCTTCACAGCGACGTACATTCAGTCTGAACTCTCTCCGGTCCCGTCATGCTACACATACTTATTTACATTTATTTATTTCTCTTTATGGCGAAAACCCAGACCAATAAAGCAAACTGAAGAGAGAGAGAGAAAAGAAAAAGGAAACTGACCTTTGGCACAGGTAGTTGTGTGTTGCTCAGAGACCCCTGGCTCCTCCTCTCTGGTCCCTCCACCTGAACAAACAGGGTCGATCAACTCATGAAGCTTCACTTGTGGACAAAATGATCAAACTCTCATTAGAAGGTCTGCATGAACTACCAGAGGCTTGCGGATGCCCAGGCGGACCGTGCCAGCTGGGACAGACTTCAGGACCTCCACGGCCTCGGCCAGGGTGTGCAGGTCCACCCGGGTCTGGTTGACCGACACTAGCTGATCTCCAGGAAGCAGACCGCCGCGCTGCTCAGCTGAACCGCCGGGAACCAGAGACCGAATCACCATGACACAGCGACCGGGATCCAGCGGGTCCTGAAGAACAACACGTTACATCCATCATGTGTTTGAGGACTTTCAGCCTCTGTAAGAATTCAGGCGACATTGTTTTGGAGATAACCTTAACAGCAATGACTCTCTGACTCTACAAACAAACAAACAAACAAACAAACAACTGTCAGCGAGTATCCATGGTGACCATATATCCATAAAGATCCATTTTCAGCTGTATTTTAGCTGTGAACTCAGTGAATTCAGCACAACCCTAAACACAACATAACAAGGACACAACAGAGCTGTTTTCTAAGCGTTAAGCTAACTGAAGAAAGGTCAGAAATACAGAACTTGCTAGAGAGGGTTCAAAATAAGCTTCAAAATAAAGGTCTTTTTGGGCAATTACTTCACAACTTTACCGCTCCAAGGTCTAGACGTCGGGGACCTCAGTGCTGGGTACAGGCATTAGGAACAGGGCGATATACGATATTATCACAATAAAAAACACAAAACACACTTATTGTTTCCATTATTGTGATAATCGTAAATATCCTCACGACTCTGATATTGATTTCCAGATTTATTTTAAACAAACAGGACAATGTAGAGCCTGAATCTCTCCAGTCAGTCCACAATCCTGAACCTGGAGACGAGGGGCCAATTATGTGTTTCTTAAGAAAATGTAAAGTGATTTTAGTGCCATATTAAAAGTATATTTTATTTATTATCATGATAATACTGTGTATTTTTTATTTTTTTTTGTTAAATGTTTGTTTGTATGTTTGGCTGGAAACGTAAAAAAGTAAAAATCCTGATTCACTTTTTAAGTTCTGACTCTAGTTTTTATTTCTTATTTCTTACTTCATGAAAAGCTTGAACACAGGACGTAATTTAATAAATGACTTAATGTGGTCAAATGTCATATAGTGTCTGGACACAGCTCTTCATCCACACTGACACAGAGCTCAACAGTTTCCCTCCGGTTCCTCCAGTCAGAAAGCCACAGACACTCACAGTCCTCCCCCCATCGTTCACTGTAACTGTGGCTCTTAGAGAGACAGGCAGGGGGAGACAGAGACCAGAGAAATGACAGAAAATCCATCCATACAAACACACAACAACACACAAACATGCAGAGGTGAAGTCCGTTCCTCGCCATCCGACTCCACAGACATCGACAGTGCAGAGGTCGGAGGTCCCAGCACCCAAACAAGAGAGGGTGGAAGTGAACTGGGAGACAGACGGACTGAAGAGGACTTCAGGACGCAAACACAAACTGTCAGCAGTCAGAGTGGACACTGAGTTTAAAATGAGAAAAGGAAGGTGGAAAAAGGAGCCTTTCATACTCCAACAGCAGCTCAGACCTAAAGCTCGGGTCTTTGTAGCTTCAGTAATATCTAATATCACAGTATGCTCATGTCTGATCCGTCTGAGTGTTCATGTGCTGTAATCCAGTGTGTGAACTACACCCCCACCACAAAACAGAGAAAGGCCATTTTGGGAAGAATAATGGTGACTTGGCCTGAGTGGGACTACACCGATTCTGATATCTGAGTTATAGTGAGTGAGTTTTATGATATTGTGTCGCAATGCTTCAGTGGTTTAGCATGCAGAATAGATCCTTTATTGAATAAGTGATGAATCACCCTCATGCATGAATCATACATCAATAACAGCCCAACTTTACGCATGACCCATGATGATGAAGATACAGAAAGAACAGCTGCAACCTAAAGTTCTCCAAGCTACATCAGCGTTATTCACCTCTACGGACCAAACTCCAATGTTCATGGACAATCACATCTCAAATGCACGTCTCCCCTGCAGTTCGCAACCTGCTGTAATCGCTGTTTGGGTTCAGCTGTCGGACGCCCAGTTTGCTCTGAGGGTGTGTGAGTACGAACACCATCAATCACCATGATGGTAAAATGAGGCCAAAGTAGAAAATAGACTGTGAGATCACTCGTGTAAAAGGTCATAACCCTTCTCGCCGTCCAAGTATGGATTTTGGCGTCGCTGAACACTGCTGAAAGCTCCAAATGGTTAGTAAGTGAGTCTTTGAGCTTATTATTCCCAAAGGTTAACAAAGCAATTCAAGCCTTACAGAGCAACTGAAAACCTGCTCTGATGTCACAGTGGACTCCAGGGCGTGTCAGTACACTGTGACATCACTTTGGGCGTGGTTAAGGTGCAGCAGACTTTCAACTGGAAGGACTCTTGTTTATTCACCATAAACTCAATTTAACTTAATCACTTAATGTTTTCTTTGGTCAGAAATCTACTTATAATTACTTCCCCTATACAGATTGGTTTATTTATTAGCGGTCAGCAAATAACAACAAAGAGTTTGTCTTAATAAGATATTCCAGCTAATACTGAGCTCGATTTAACCAGTAACAACAATGGTTGCATAATATCCCAGCAGAGGAACCAGATTATTGTCCTTATTTTGAGAGTAAGAGCACTCGCACAACTTCTCAGTTTAAGAGAAAGTCGTCTGGTCCCAGTCAGTGTCCCAGCAGCTGTTTAGTTTTTCATTGTTTTAATAAAAAAAATTATAAAAAAATAAGAATGTTTCTGGTTCCTTCATTTAACAGATTAAAAAAATTTAAAAATGTCTTAATTTCAGCTCAATAAAGGGACCAAAATACTAATTTTAAGAATCTTAAATAACTGAGTTTGATCGGTTGTAATAAACACAACTTGCTCAAAACTGTTTGACACCACTGGCAGATTGTTTTACAAGAATACAAGATTTTTTAAAATTATATTTAAGAATATTTGGTTTAATTTGAGTTACATAAAGTTGGATTTGGGTCCACATTCTCTAACAGAGATAAGAAAGAAGTGAGAAAGCTCACACTTTAGTTAATTGTTTCTGCCACTTATTGCAGGTTAAATGTGAAGGCTTTATCAGTGGGGGACTTAAAGCTAAGCTGCTTTAGAGGGTTGGAGGACTTCTTGATTTTAATGTGTGGAAAAAACTTCACACAGCCTTTATCTCAGAATTTCATTAATTTCTGAGAAGAAAACAAAATGAAATTATAATTTTTTAGATTTTTAAAGTTAAAACAGAACTGAATAGTGTGGACGGATTGGTTTGTGTTCGCCACCAACAGCTTCCTGGTATTTAGTTTAGTTTGGTTTGAGCTTCCAAAATATAAATTTATTATTTTTATGTTTTATGTATGTGTATGTAAACAAACTAAATAAAATAATAAAAAGATACGTTTCAAGATTATGATTAGATTAGGAATTTAACAAACTGTTACTATAAGTATTATCAATTATTATCTCCACTGAGGACGTCTGTATGTTTTGTCTTTTTGGTGTTTGGTACAAGTTTAAAATAATACAAGAACATGGGAAATAATCTGTAGGTTTACAGGTTTATTTCTGTTTATTTTATAAATTTTTTTTATGTTTTAAATACATGGAACTATGAACAAAATTACAAAATTATCCTGTGAATTTACACGTCTAAGTAAAAAAACTTAAAAATTCTATACATGCGAATAATCATAAAATGACTGCTTATTTAAACAAAATTAAATTTTTTCCACATAAAAAGATTAAAATACATTTATACAAATCTTTTTATCTTTTATTACATTAACTGTTTTTCTTCTGTTAAATTCAAGTTTGATACTGTTAATACATTTCTAAAATTATATAAAATTAGTGACAACAGTGAAAAAAGTATTTGTTGACTTTTATTACAGTTCTATAACTTTCAAAATTTTGATTTAAAATTGATTAAAAAATCTAATAATAACACCACTCTGCTGTAAATGTAAGCCTGATTATTTGTATTATAGCAGAGTTCACCTGGATTTATAACTCATTGCGTTGTTTTTACAGTGTAAATATCTTTAACTGAACATTAAAGAGACAAAAAATTACACACGATTTCCTGTTAACTTAAAGTGTAATTTGACTATAGAAAATTACTGTATTTTTACAAGTTGTTATTTTCTGTTTTTTTACAGCTGCTGGTATATTACTGTTCTGTCTAGAAGTAATTAATTATCCTCTAACTTTATCTACAACACGAGGTACTACACACGAAGATAGAAGTTGAGTTTGTCTACAACATAAACAGAACTCGTCTTTTTAACCAGAGCGACCAGGACGACGACCCGGTCCTGCCAGAACCCGAACCCCTCAGAGACTTCTATACCGGCTGTAAAACCCTCTCCTGGTGAGAGCCGATGTACATTTTGTGAATTCCCCTGCGTTGAACCCTGGGCATCGCCCGCACTGCAGTACGAGCTGCCGTGCCAAGTTTCAGGCTGCCAGAACAAAGGCGCGCTGTATTTTTAGACTGAACAACATGGCTACAGGTGGTGAGGAGTCAGAACTCAAGTCCTCCACTCCTACAAGATCCTCCAGAAAAAGAAAGGCCTCTGCTGTCAAAAAGTGGAGATATCAGAAACGTAGGAGAAAGTGTGAGAGGAAAAAAAAACAACCTGAAATTAAAAATGTACTTTGCCAAAAGTAGTGAAATGTTTCCACGGTTGGCGTTTCATGGGCAGAAAAGGGTTTTGGTTTTTTTTGGGATATGTAGGTTGCAGAGTGTCTACACAAAGTTTTTAAGACCTTTATGATGCCAGTTAGAACCAAACTCTGGACGATTTTATAACTGAAAGAAAGTATTTTTAGTGTTTTTTGAACTTTAGACTTCATATTTTTATTTTAAACTTGAGACCTTTTACAGTCTCTGAGGTTTGATATCATGAACAAAAAAAAAAAAACTTTCCATACTTTTTCAATTTTCTCATGATGAACATACACCAAAGTAAATCTGAGTAAATCTGCAGGAAAGGGACCAGATTTTGGCACGGGAAGTGTTTTTGGTTTCTGTTTCCGAGGAGTTCTGATCAATCGCCTTTAAGCGGGTTTTGGTTGCATGAAGATAAACGGTCCATGTGGCTGTAAGGAGAGCAACACAGGTGGAAGACATCGGGTGAAATGTAAGTTTGGAACCCAGCGACCATCATTTGATGAGGAATTCGCTTTTTATTAGTTCAATTTATCTGCAT